TTACTGTATATACCACGAATCGCACACATGCCAACACAGTTCTATTGCCAGCCGTTAGGACATACCTGCACGATCTAATGGGCTGACGAAACGGAACGAGAGTCTTTCACTTTACACATTGTCGTGGGTTTCCGTTATGTGAGTGGAAATGCGTTTTATCGAACATTAGAATAGTCAATAGGGATTTAACGTGTGGTTTCTCACTAGTCAAGCTACAGGGAGTGCGTCTTTTAGCTTCCGAGTTATCGCCGAGCAAAGTTTTTCGGGTCCAAGCCGGAGTCCCCCTGTCGTCCTCCTGCAGATATCGAGCCCGAATCTCTATTAGGGATCTGTCCGTTCTTTTTCCCATTATAAGTCGTTTCTTTCAATATCCCTAACTGGCGGGTGGGCGAGTCAGTGAGTCATAATGAACACTGTTAGCGGAAGACCCAGGCCCGCCACCCAAACGACCGTGGACATAAATAATACGTCTCTGAACTATTAGTGGCCACACCTTGCTAGAGCGTGTGAAGATACTTTCTCTTTTAGAGCCCCGGTATGTGGATCGGCTAGTGCCCGGCGCTTGACACAAGTATGATAAATAGCCCCCGACGTATGGGACGGTAAAATCACGTTCCTCATGTACACTTGACAGAAAAAGCGGGAATTAATCCCAGTCGAGGAACTGCCTGGTCGAAAGACCGGTTATTCGACCAGACGTGGATAAAGACACTCCAGGTTTTCCGCGTTGGTGGCTGGGCCCAGTAGTTAGTCTCAAATGACATATCTTCTATTATTTATGCTATGTTCGCGGGCGGAAGAGGGATTGTGCGAAACGCTGTATGTAAATAACTAAGCTAAGATGTGTTCATGAAGATGGTTGCCTAATAGGGCTATGAAATTATTTTATAAATTTAAACCTTATTTCTTATAGGCCTCCATTCCAGGTATCAGAAGTCCGCCAGCCGGAACATATTCGGGTTCCACAGTTTTTGATCTGTTAACGTGTATCTAGATGCGGCAGACCAATCGCTCTGCCTACATCACGATAAAATCAATTAACAAACCTCTTCGAGGGACCGTCGGTAGGTTGACCCTTTATTCCATTGGGTGGTTGCTGCGCACGAGCGTCCTGTCCGCCCCCTGTTGTCGGGGGTTGTAGCGGCTGGAGGACCTAGACGGTGCACCTGTCGAGGTATCAGGGGCTCTGATTCACAGCTTCTACACCAGGAAAGCCCTAGGGTAGATCTGTCAGCTAGCTATTATCCGGCCGACCGCTGTGTACCAATCGTTACGTCACTGCCGCTACATAACGGAATGCCACCCGCTTATTAACCCTCAGTTGCCATAGCACAGATGTCTCTAGGCAGAGTAAAATAGGCGGCCTCAATAGACACTGAGGACGTTGGCGCGCTATAAGGCCAAATTGCCTGCTACAGTTCTTTGCGACCATATGCGTTCGCTTACCTTGACTTGACACCTGAATTATAGTGATGCACTTTAGTGCATCAAGATTACGCTCCGAATCGAACATTGGGCTTATGAGTGTATTAGAGTATTGGTCATCAAAATATGATCAAGCGAATGTCGATGCGTCATTACTCACTACACGCAGGGACCAGGATTTTCCAGTAATCGAGTAACAAGGTTACAGGCTTCAAGCTCCACTCCACGCCTGCATCGCTAGAGAAAGGCGACCCCTATACGGTAAAAGCGCAGTCCCATCTTTGTCTATTGGCTGAACATGTAGCCCACAGATACGCGGGGTAGGTGAGCCGAGCAAGTTGGGTGGACACGCGCCCGAAATAGAGGACCAGACATCCACCTGGCTCGTAAAAAAGACGATGATCAACTCTGACGAATTTGATGCCGCCCCATGACGATAGAGAGGAGACGTGAGATGTTAACATCCTCTGCGCAGCGGAACGTCTTGGCGATCTACCGGTTCAAGTCCTTACAACGATTGTGTGTGGCGATACTAGGAGACGTTTGTTCCATTCACGTTCATTTACGCGTAAAAAGCGTCTAATAGGTACTAGAGCTAGTCACGTGAAATTTAAATATGTCCGTTACCTTTGTACAGCAGTAGGAAAATGAGGTATCAATAGAAAAGATATAGGCGTGATGCGATTAATAAAAAGAGTTTAGCGATCAAATGTTGAGAGCGTTTTTAGATTAGCCTCTTCTCCTCTTCGGCGAGTTACGTCTGTGTTATCGTAAGATCTAATTAGGTTCTTCAAGCCTAATCTGACAGCAGGATTACATTTACCCCACAATAGACACTCGCTTGCGTCGCGTATTTCAAAACTTAACATTGCGTAATGCTCTCTCAGGGCATAGACTCTTGATCGTCATATAAAAGAGTAGTTCCCTAGGCTGCTTTTGGTGGCAGTCGCCGGGCCTATCTTAAGTTAGAATTGTCGCCATCGATTACACGCAGCGCCTACCAGTACCAGTCGGTGGTAAACTGCTTCGTAGGGGGTCATCATGTAAGTGCTATAAGGGTTTGTAAACATGAAGGTAGTGCGCCGATTTCCTGCAAACTACCGCTTGATCGCCCACTTGCGGCAGGCGACGCGTAAGCGCTTCTGTCTCGGGCTGCTGCCGTGCCCTCGAGGTCTAGATCATCATATGGTTTCTTATCGGCTGAAAGAGTTAGAGGATGAGGCCTGAACTAAATTACTCCCGTTGACAGTCAGGATCTTGGGGTCAGTTTTAGGGGTGAATGAGAAATCAAAACTTGTGTCTATCGACGTAACATACCGTTATCACGACTGTCGGTCCTCACGGGGCGACTATGGATCTTATCTGACTCTGACTACGAGAGCAATTATCTCCAGGGAAGCTAGGCCACTTGCAATGTAGTGATTAATGTCCGTAAGGAATATGGGGTTTGAAACGAGCAATTGCGCCAAAGTTTATCATCTTAACACAAGCCCTGGGCAGAGGGGAAGGCAGAGCGGAGTCGTTGATCCCGAAGCGAGACTATGGATACATCGCTCCCTGGACATAGGATCATTACTCTATAACGCAGGACATGTCACCTGAAAGTAACTTGTTATATTGACCTATTGCGTACCTTGGGCCTTAAAGTAGCTCTGCGTCATACGCCTCGGATGAATGACCTAGCGAATAATATTGGGTAGGGGCCAATGGATATGGGATGCTATATTATTTGGTAACAACCTCTAGCTGAATAGGGGCCTGAGTCTCCTTTCCGTATGTGAGCGTGTAGCTATCCTTGCTAGAGTTCCGGAGCTCTCCGGGCACTTAAAGCCTTTTAAAATTTTCTAAACATGGAACGACTCCCCGAGTTTTGAGCCTAATACTCCAGCATCTGTCGCAGGGTGCGCTGCTCTTTTTCCTTTAATTCCGAGCTCGAATATTGAACCATCACAACATGACAGCCGTCCGCTACATCAACCCAGCTACCACAACAGACTCTGACAGCCCGCCTTGTCATGCGAAGTCGAGTCCCATTCGACGCCACGGTTCGTAGCATGGACTGCCGACAAGTCCTCCTTCAGAACTTCACTTGGCGTTACGTATGTGTTTCCGCCCCATGCGGCATGAGTTAGCCTTCTATTTGGTAGAACTGATTATAAGTTCGTGGGAGTTCTAAGCTTGCGCCATAAGCGAACAAAACTAATAACCGTCAGAAGTCATACACAAACCCAAATTGTAAGGATAGTTACGCTAGCTCTGGTAAATTAGCGGATAACCTGTCGACTGGAGACGGCCGGAGAGTCATCTAAGTGCCCCAAAATGCTATATAGAATCGAAACACAGTACGGACGTCAGGTCGCGGTTAATGCGCAAGTCAGAACAATGATACCATTCTTAGGCTGTGCACTGAGCTCAAAGCGCACGCGGCAGAGTGCAGAATGGCGTAATAGGGCCTTCTACTGGAGCCATGCACCGAAAACGCGACTACTAAACTTTGCCACCCTACCTGCGCTTATCTTTTGAGATAGAGTCAAGTTGAACCTGTTGATGCCGTTCCCATATACAACCTTCACTCAGTTACGGACTGGCTAAAAGTACGAGTGATGGACTAGTCCCCGCAGGAGCCATAGCATTGCAGCATACTGACCCCCCATTCACTTTTTTTTAAGCTCACTAAGGAAAGCCTAATGTACGCGTGGTGAGCAAGCAAGGCGTATAGCAATACTCATTCCCAGCCAATATGCGGAAGAGTGCTTTGGTGGACATTTCTAGTATTCTGGGCTGGTTCAAGCCGACCCGTACCTTTGCGTATTCTTCGCCCGGATCTGAAATCAGCAGGGGCATCAGGTGTCCCAGACACTTTGGGAGTTTTATTCGGAGTCAGAATCATAATTCTTATCATGTGGCACGATGATTTCATCTAACAACAATCCGGCTAGTTACTTACCGTGTCGGCTAGTTAGGCATCCAGGTGTGCCGATGATCTGACCGTGACTATTTCGGGATGATCTGATAAAGGCAACGATCGGATTCCTTGGCACGGATGCGGAGGGGGTAATAACTAGTAGACAGTATGTGGGATTTCAATCGCTTACACAATGTAGACGGATGGAGGTGGGTATGGTGGTTGGTTTTAACTCACGCTCGGCGCAGCAGTCCTTACATCTGTAAAGACCGTATCGTTAGCTGTTCACTGCCCTAAAGACGAGGGGATTGGCAATTTCGTCCATAGCTCCTGTCTTTTTCACAGGCCAGATAAATCAAATCACGGATATAATGGGTATCCTAGTGCAATTCAGCCCTTGATGGAAGGCGATGGCAGCCATGCTGTGTTGATGCCCCCCGCAGTCTTGCATTAGAGAACATTAAGAGTCCCCTCCTCGACGCCCTCCGGGCGTGAGCGCGGTCAGAGGTTTTGCGTCATTCCTGTCCCAGATACGACTAGGCGAGGTCAATAAATAATACTGCGCAATTTCGGGAGGAGGGCATGCAGAAGTCTTAGAATGTCAGAAAGACGCAATTCACGACCTACGGCCACGTAAGGTTTTATCAAATGGCTCGAAAGGATGATTGCGCAATGAAGTCGCGGAAGAGGATGCTCCTGAGTCCATGCCGTTCCTCAAAGCATATGATCAATCCTCTCCGTGGCACTATTGCTGATCTCAGGGGCCCCTAGCAAAAAGGGGTTAAATAGTGTTCAATTATAAAGTCGTGACGCAGGATAGAGAGGAAGGCGGTTTGAAATATCTAGAGGTGCGATGCAGTGCTCGATGTGCATATGATGCTCCCCACGCGCACCGGGCGCAGGACTCTACGCCTTGCATGAGTTAACCCTATACTGTATAGGTTAAGCCCATGGGATGACCCCTCTCAGTCAGTTCTATTCCGTGTCGATAAGTCGAGGCCCCACCAATGAGTTGCCGAGGTCTCAAGTCGCATTTTCTAGAGCCATGAGGAGGTTTGCGACAAACTGTGATAGACGCCATTGGATCGGGTAGGTGATGGGGATAGAGCTGGCTGCTAATCTGGATGGCCTCCAGAGCGTTCCCTCGAGATCCGCGTTTCATCGTCACGGTTGGGTTTCTAACGGAGCGTTACTTTAGCTCGTCCTTGGGGTTCATGAAAGCGGAACCCATAAATGCACGAAATTCCTACTGCCGAGGGTGGCTTGTCCCACAAATCTGTCTCGCAACAAAGAGCTTCTGGTAGGTACTAATCTAAGCACTTAACTTGGGAATGGTGTGTGTCTAAGTAGCCTCAGACTAGGCTGCTGCCAAGGCTTCTATTGGCTCTTTCGTAATGCGATTCATCATCCTTGTACTCGTTATCCTAAAACCGAAATATCTCGTAGAAGCTTGACAGTTCGAGATCAAGATGGGGGTTCCCATAGGATCTACTATCAGTATCAAACTAGCTAATGGCCTCGTCAAACTACTTTGGGGGTACCGAGCTCGTGTTGGATGTTGGTATCGTTGTTAATCGTAAATGGCCCAGGCGAGATATCTCATGCAAACAGGCGGAGTACCCCCGTCTAAAACGTAAGATACTCGGAGTCTCGTGGTTACAAGGTTGTGGCGTGCTATGGGAAGGCAGCCTGCCCATCCAGAATACGGCGATGGAAAATACACTGGCATTGCCCGGGTACTCGACAACGTTCTTTAACTACTATCATTTGTGGAAGAGATGACAACAAAAAACCAGACTAGTACTTCCTAGTCAGTTAATCAACACGCACTGATTGTCCGCATATTCCTAAGGCTGACTTATGGGCTAGGTTGTACATGCGCCTCGACTGCGATTACAGGGCATCGGGTCAGCGTGCGAGGAGGTCAGAGGGTGCCTAAAATGGGTCGCGGAATGGCAGTTGTCACATATATGGATCATATAGAGTGATACTTAGCTCTGTTGTACCTTACAGGATACGAATCCGGCGGTGAATGCTGCATATTTTCGGAACATGATTGATACCGCTTGTACTTGAGTCGTTGCGAGATACGGCAACTGGTCAGGCCGTTGCCTTATGAATTCATGAGGCGCTACCTAGTTATGTAGTGTACGCGGCCAATGGTGCAAAAATTGAACACACTTAATTAAGGGATCTTTCGTCATTTTTAACTTTAGCGAATATCTCCATGATTAGAGTATAATTGGACTGTTTCTGATCAAGGACATACACAATAGATGTAAAGGTCTTGATATGCCTATGGGATTATGTAGAGAGGACGCTCCTAACGCTGCCGTCCAGAGGCGGCAGACCAGGAGTGATCACTGATCCCTTACTGGTTTAAAACAACCACGAGCCGTGGAAAGGTCATACTTTTATAGCCTGTTACTTACGATTAAGTGTGACCGATAGTGCCGAACATTCCTTCCTCCCGTGGAGAAGGTTGAAGCCAAACATGAGCATGTGTTCGGCACCCTGCCGGAGACGCCACCGGCATTCACCACGGAACTTCTGGAGCGTCGCCGAGGGCGTCTAGTTAACAAATTTGCGGGGTGATTTCAGTCTGAAGGATGCGATAGGCTGTTTGTAATAGGGAGGGCGAGAAAACCCTTGTTTATGCGAGCGGTTCTCGATTGGGACCATATGGCTCCATCCGAGTATTCAGAACTGCGGCTAATAGTGCGATATGTTGAACCTAGTGCACACGATTCAGGCTTGAACGCCTGCGGGATATGATTAAGTCGGTACAAGCACGCTTCCGATAGCGTCTACTTTCACTGTATCGGCCCCGGGGCCCGCATGACGATGAGTCCCGATTTGGACTAGTTATAGACAATCAAGAAAAGACCATCTCTCAGAGGACGGGTGGTCTGCCACCTGTGTCTTGTTATTTACCCGCCATCTCTAACAGAATCGGGAGTGACGAAAGAACCCCATCCAATTCCGCTGATGCTTAGTACATGCGGAGACGAACCGCAGCGGATCTCCAGGAGCGATTTTCTCATAAATCGGTAAAAGGTTTACGTCATCTGAAATTCCGCGCAGCGGTCCGGCTTTGGGGGATAGCGCGCGCGCGCATACACTCAGGGTAACTGGAATTAAAACTTTTCTTAATCTTTCGGGTCCTGAGAGATATTATAACGTGAAACCTCCAGATCATGTCAACCTAACCGGTGTGCCTCAGCTTCATGATGTCACCTCGCTAGACTATTTCGCTATCACTGTAGACTTATCCGTCCAGAAACTTACCTATGTCGGGGCGGGCGGAATGTACCGCTTAGTGCTACCTAAGTATCGGCCTTTTTCGTATCGGCCGAGACCCCGCAAAGCTATGAACTAGAGGAAAATTATAGATCGCACCCAGGGCGCTTGCGTTATGAGGAGATAGGTCTTTAATTAGTGTCGGCATGGAAGACGAGACTTCCCCGACCCAGAGTGGCGGAGGCGTATAATTAATTCAAAAAGTTCGGTTGCATTAAGAGCCGTCTACATCGTACCTTATATAAGGAGAAGGGGATCATCATGGCATTGGATTTCCCCTTCAAGCGAAGTGGAAGTTTCGATTAGGGGGAACTCAGATTTCATATGAACGCAGGTGTATGGCGCGCCATTTGAATCATGGGTGAAGCTTTTCAAGCAAGGTACAAAGTTAGTTGGTCGTAGTGCCCGCGGACACCGTCCGAAAGAAATAACCCCGTAGCGGGGTAGTTTGAGTTATGAATCTCGATCACGAACCCGGTAGTCGGCAGTACGACGATTACTTCAAAACATCCTCCACGACCTTTGGAATGTTATTGCCAGGCGTATACCTGTGTAGTTTCCCGGGATAAACAGCAATGGTTGCGTACAAGTGGGGGCCTCGGAAGGCTAAATTGGCCAACGGAAGCAGCACTATGAAATTTCCCGGGGCTTTCCAACCCAGAGTTCCAAGCGCCAAGTAGCCATAGTGGCGTCCCGGAACAAGGGTCAAAAGAGTCATTTAAGTCGGTAACCGGGTTTACTCTACGATTACTACGTCTTAGACATCGCAAGTCTGGGTAGTCGTGCCGCGTTATCACCTCGTTGGCTCTTTCAATCGCAAAAATGAGGCTTCACCTTACAACTGGCAGCCCTAATCAGGACTCTGAGCTCTTCTAACGCTATGAGAAAGAGTATCCACTTCGCGAATTGACAAGCCTAATTACAGCACCTCAGTTGACTGTCGTCTGACCATGAAGAGAACACTCATGCTGATGCGGTATTTACGCATATGGGGTGCTGGTCATACCACATAAAGAGATGTGGAGACCGACTCCGGGTGACGAAGGTACAGCTAGCCGTGACGCGCGCGCGCGCGTGCGCCACCCTTGCCAAGATCAACTTTCCACAACAACGATAAAACCCCGGTGACACGGGGACGTTTCAGAAACTCGCTAAAAGGGGGGAACGTAACCCCTGGTTTGATTTAAATGTATTATTTCTCTCAATCCGCCCCCCTTTTAAGCCGGCGATCGATGAGCCTGCGAATGCTAGCGCACGTGTGGCCATCGGGGACGTGGAATCTTGGCAAAAGTTGCCGGGGCGCTTCGAAGGGCGATGCTCGCCGAGGCCAGGCTGGTCTCCAGGGGTGAAGTATGGCAGCGGGGAGGGATGGATGGCGGGAAGGGGAACGCGCGGTCAATGCCAACGCAGAGCTCGCGGCCAACTCCCAGTCGCAACGCGGGGGGGGGGGTGGGGCAAGCAAACGACTGTAATTTATAAGATATTAAATTACATATTTACCCAGGAGAGACACATCTGAGTCAGAAGACTCTTTTACTTGGGGGGGGGAGGGCGGGGGGGTGGATCCCGTTACATTTTAACGTTTGACCAACGGCAATAACATAAAATTTCGATTTAAAGCTTTCGTGACTGCAGGGATTCATCTTCTTGGTTCTTTCGGTAAAGTCACGTAGAAGGGAAATAATAAAATAATAAAATACAATTCTCACGACGTTTCGGTCACAACGCAGGACGGCTGCTTGCGTAGTGGCCGAAACGTCGTGAGAATTGTATTTCATTATGTTTTATTTTTTATATTTTATTATTTCCCTTCTCCGTGACTTTACCGAAAGAACCAAGGCCAATAACATTGTAGCATTCATAGCTACAGCAGGAAACCCCGTTGCAGAACAGGGGAGAGAATATATAAAACTGCACTCGAAAGGCACCGCGATCAGGAATTGTAACCCAGGCGCTGTTTGCCGTGAAGCAGGAGTGCCAATTTAACACGTAGGCTTTCGCGACCAATGTTATTCATAATCAACGTTTTTGGGTTTAGATCGCGTTATTTATAAATGTGTCGTAACCCTCCACCACCTGACACGGCCAATCAGTAAAAAGTGTCACGTTGACAAAAGACAAATAGTTCACTGCTTTAGCCCACCGGTGTGTTGAAGCCACAACATTTTGTACTCAAATTGTAAATGTTGTGGCTTCAACACACCGGTGGGCTAAAGCAGTGAACTATTTGTCTTTTGTCAACGTGACACTTTTTACTGATTGGCCGTGTCGGGTGGTGGAGGGTTACGACACATTTATAAATAACGCGATCTAAACCCAAAAACGTTGATTATAGGAGTGCCAACCTGCCGCCTATTGCGCCACCAAATGTGATATAGCAAGTGTTGTAGGCCAATGGGTGGAAGAACCTTTCACTTACTGATGGCCACATAGGACTTTCAATTACCGTTGGTGGGCAACCGCACATTAATACGTAAGGGTTAACCAATAGTAGCGCAAAGAATAACAACGCATGTCGACTGGGTCCATGGAGGCCCTTGCAGTGCCGCAAAGCCTTGCGAAGCTTTGCCTGTGTTGGTGCCACGAGACCTGTCAACGCATGGGGCAGCGTGGTGGTTCCAAAAAAGGTACGGCAGCACAGGAAGTGGGTCACTGGCCTGGTGCGAGTCCAGAGGTTCAGAATCGGTGTGACGCATGCCAAGACTGAAAGGCGTATAAAAACTTAGTTGCGGCTTTCGTACAAGTTTTTTTAACTGGGCATGTAATGATCCCATCGATTAAAATATATTCTTTCACTCAAGATACTTGCATCGAATGGAGTGTGCAAGCTTCTTCACAAGTAATGTAATTTACACGCAAATGTTTGGGTGGAATGGTGGCACGGCGGTTAGTCAACCGTGCTATGAACAATGGTGTCCACAGTTTGATTACGGGCCATGGCTAAAATCTGTTGTGAATTTTTTCTGAACTATTCCATGACCAACCTGCATTGACCGGCATAGTGAAGTATGGTCAAATAACCCACATGACCCAAAACGGCATGAGGAGTCTCAGCCACAGAAGTGCCCTGATTATACATAACAGGACCCTGCGGGGTGGGCTGGTAGGAATAATACTTAGTACCGGTACAGGGATATCGACCGGGTATAGAGGAGTTAAAGAAAAAAATTACTGTATTCTAGTGTAACGTTAATTAAAAGTGTTTGTTTGGACAAGAAACGCTGTGAGATTTAAAGACCCCCAACACCACCACCACCCCCACCACCACCTTCTGCACTAGGCCTCGCGAAGCCTGCCGCACTAGGCCTCGCGCCGTGCTTTTCGTGCACAAATAAGGCAATTAAATGTATCTCGTCTCTGTGTTAATAAATGTTTCTTGTCTCTGTGTTAAAAAAACGTGCTGCGTTTCAGTAAAGTAATTTTTTTATACATATAATCATATATACTCTTAGTTCTTTCGGTAAAGTCACGTAGGTAAAAAATGAAATTAAAATTAATAAAAATAAAATAAAAATCACGACATTGGCTACCACATCCTGATAAGCTCCCCCCCTCTCCTCCCCCTCAACTTGTATTTAAGTGCTTACATCTTGAATCATTGCCTCACTTAATGCAGCAAATCTGGCTGTGACTGTCCCACCTGATGACGGAGACTTGTGTTGCCTCCGAAACGTCGTGATTTTTTTTAGTTTTTATTGTTTTATTTTTATTAATTTCATTTTTTACCTACGTGACTTTACCGAAAGAACTAAGAGTATGAATCCTTGCAGTCACGAAAGCTTCAAATCTAGAATCATATATATAAATAAAAATATCACCACTAGGCTAATGGAATGAGACAGAATACACAAGACACCCAGTAAAAACAGAACTGAAAAGAATACAGTACCGAATCGAACCGTGACCCAGGAATTGTGACATTTCATCGAATCGCAGGGCCTTGCTAATCACTACGTGCCGATTTAAAAAACCATAGATGATATACGCACGCGCTCGCCATTCAAAAGGTTATCGCGTATTAACGTACACTTTTTTGGGGGCTGTACACAGAAAATGGAAGACGTTTCATCACCACTGACGGCACTGCCAATTTCTGCTGTGACCCACTGGCCATGTTGGGAGATTCAATTCGCCATCGACGCGCTCGATCACGTCCGACAGAGGAAGCGGTGCGGGCTTGAGCCTTGCTCGCACTCATATGGGAACGATCGAGAGGACCAGGTGTTCGAGGCGTGGGTTGTGCCACATAGCCAGATGGAAGCAGGGCAGTGTATTATTGCATCCATCTGTGCGGAGCTTCGAGTGATACACCCTCCTGCACCCACCCCGTATCCATTTCTCCAGTCTCCTCTCAGAAGCAGCCAAACTCGCAAAATTGGAATTTAACCAAAACTCCCAAAGCAGCAGGACCCTGCTGAAACAGCAGCGAGGCTCTTCTGGTTAGGTAGAGCTCATTATTATTGCAGGAGGGCTCAAAGTTGGCTCGGCACGAGCCGACCAAGCATGCCTTGCAGTCGCTTGGAATCCAACTCGTCACTCTAAAAGAGGTTAAGCCAGTGTTTGAAAGTGCAGGGATTGGAGAGGAGGGAGAGGGTAGTGGTAGGGAGTCAGCAAGAGAGCGCGCTGCGGAGTGGATGAGCGGTGGGGGGGGGAAGGGCGTCCCGTTACGAGCAGCCACGCGAGTAACCCTAGCCAAAGTCTCGCGTGACGCCATCTCTTCTTAAACTATTTAATGAGCTACCTCATGTTCTAATCGATTTGTATCGCTCCCTCTCCATGCAGCCTCGCCGAGGTGGTGGGGGAGGGGATGCAGCAGCCTTAACCATTTGTTGCACGGACGTTGGCCTTCAGTCTCCCACTTGCAGCCAAATGGAAGCCTCGTGTTACAGGTGCGGGTGAGTGAACGTGCATCGACTTAACAGTGTACGTGTGGATGTGTGTTGAACTTCTTTCGCACTATACATGGCCAACCGCGCTAATCTGAGGTGCGTGTACCTGCTGCAGTGTGCAAGCACCAGCACTGGGGAAGCAAGTGGTGGGGCGTGGTGCCGGCCACACCGCACCACCCCCCATCCCGCGCACCGTCACAGTACTTGCCCCAAAAGTCGTTGTAGACTATTAGGGATGTCTTTGTTGAAGGGTATATGATTTTTGTGTTGGTGTGTGCATTCGTGTTTGTATATAACGTCTGTGTGAGTGCACACTATTTTTAGGTTTGTATGCGTGGGTGTGAGAATGAATGCCGCGTGTGCATGATCATGCAAACCATCACTCCGTGTCCGAGTATGAGTGTGCATTCATTTTTGTGAGGGTAGTGTGTGTGTGTGTACGAGTTCACGATTGTGTTTGTACGTGTGGATCAGCATTTGTGTAACAGACTGTGCATGTGTCAACGTGTATGCATGAGGGGAAACTAGGTCGACTCAGCCATAAATTAAGACCTGGAGAAGTGTGTAAACATCAGCACCAGGGAGATAATGGTGGCTGGGCGTGATATTGGTCACCCATCACCGTCGTGTGCCGTACCGGCCTTCATAGCTGCTCGCTAACAGCAATTTTCCCAAGGGTGGAAAGTTACGTAGGGGGGATATTTGTCCTTGTATGAGGGAGAGAGTGGTGGTGTACTGGTTATGGCATTGCGCTACAAACCCAGCAGTGATGGCACGTGTTTCCGGATCAATTGTAAATGAGCAAAACATTCTCATTATCTGCCCTTTTGTATCAAGGCCTGATATTCCGATTTGTAAGATTATCTGAAAACCGGGGGCAAATCGCTCGTGGCAAGTGATATCTGGACTTACCCTAGGCCTCACTTAAGTCAACCGAGTAAATATCAGTGCCCGAGCGTGGTTTGTAAATATGTAAAGTTGAACTTCTTTCGCACCGTACATAGCCAACCATGCTAATCGGAGGTGTGGGAGGGGGGGAAAAACAGCAACCTAACAAGTAAACCCGTAAAAACAAAATTTTTCACTATAAATCCTTTATATTCGTGGCAGCGAACTTAATATATGAATGAGTTCTATTTGAATATATGTAAAATACATTTTTTTGCCTAAAAAGTGTAAAATTTTGGGAATTTTTTTTCACGAACATTAATTGTCTGGCACAACGAGTCTGTGTTGAAAATGTCAGCTCGATTGGATCACGGGAAGTGGGTTAAAAAACGACCGAAAGATTTGCACGGTCGTAAGCAAGCAAGCAAGTGAACTTAATATAAAGGATTTAAAAAGCAGTTCTAAAGAAATTCGTTTTCAATCTAGATTTAAAAGTGCATAGCTGCAGTGCCTTCGAATATGGAAAGGAAGGACATTCCCAGACGGCTGCAGAAGTGCATCTGAAAGCGTGCGATGGAAGTGACCGTCTTTGTGGCCTTTGGGGTGACAAAGGCGACAAAGTTGGCCAGGCATGGTGGTGTGCATCACACCACCCCCCTTCGTGTGCCATTCCGGCTTAATAGAAGTCCAGGAGCCCAGACCAGATATTTCCGTAGTCAGTGCCAGATGAGGTGGCATAAACTTTAGCGGTTCCAATCTCATTTAACATGGCCAATAACAGTGAATCATGCAATAACCATTTTAAAAGAGAGAGTTATCAATCATTTCGTGAGACTCAAATGTTTCTACCTTAGGTGGTACCCATTTCTGCTGGGCGGAACGTGCTCGCTAACAGCAGTTTTCTCATGCACATGCAAGACTAAATATAAAGCTTTGTGTGTGTGCTATGGGTTTTATGGATTCAATACATACTATATATATTGAACCTTATAACCGAGAAGAGCGTCCTACGGCTAAAACCCAGCAAGTTGGCACAGTGAGGAGCACAGTTGGTGCATCTGCCAGTCACGTCAGTCAGTTAACTCGTAACACGTGGGTCTTCCCCGTGACCTCCTCTCACAGAGCCTTCCACACTTCCCGTGATAACATCTAAATGCAAATGTCTGGCACAAACGCCGTGGTGACGTCACCGGCATTTAGTGGTGGATAGCAGCTGTTGTTCGAAGAAAGGATTACAGTGGATCGTTGTAAGACACGACACGCCGTCCAAAAGTTTGTGCCCTTGTGTACATCAGTCCTAGTCATTTCATTTCCTGAGTCCCAGTGTTGTCTGTCCGGACGCTATGCCACTCACTGTGGCTGGTAGAGGAAGAGGTCGATGATGTTGTCACGCCCCTTTGTGTGGTTGAAGAACACGAAAAGGGACCAGTGGATGAGCCACGTGCGCTGCTGCAGCGCCTGCAGCGGAGAGCTGACCGACTGCGGGCGGAACACGGAGACAACGGAGTGACAACGCGACAAGAGCGTGACAATAACAACACGGCAACAACATTAATGCATTGTAGCAACACAACAAAAATTGACAACCACATTCAAAAGTGCAAGGGTGCCAGCCATCTTTCAGCACATGATACAACTGCCACCTAGTGGCAAAATCTGGACACAAAAAATATTGGACACGATTACTGGGGACAATGGAGTTGGGATGCACTCAAGAAGGCTCAAGCAATCAACAGCTCCGTCCGTCTCTGTGGCTCCCAAGAAGCCATTACGAGCCTATCGAGACACACCAAGCCTTGGGCTTGAACCCAAGGTTTTCGCCGTGTGTTTTCTACGGCAACTAAATGGACAATATAGGCCTACCGAGATGCACCCACGGCTTCACCCAAAGAAATCGTCCGTCCGGTCTCAACGGCTTAGACACGGTCATTGTGAACCTAAGTCCCATGCCCTAAGCCACCCCATGTCTCTCCCAGCAACGCACGTTGTTGTCGATGGTGTCCTTGAGCCGGGACAGGTCCTCCATGGCCGCCTCCCAGTTCTGCATCAGGATCTCGGACGCCAGCTTTCCCCACAGCGAGTTCAGAGCATTGCGGTCGTTGGCAGGGACCTGGAAGGAGGTTGAGGGAGTAGGGTGGGGGGTGACAACCGCAGTGGGCGGGGGCGACCGGTGGTGTCAAGGACCCCAGAGTGTAGCCAGAGTCAGGCACGCTAGGAGGAGGCTGTGTCCCTAGGCTGTGTCCCTAGGCTGTAACAGAGTATCAGAGTATTGTTTTTTGTTTGCATTTGACTGCAAGTATTGTGGTTAATGTAAGCATGATTCCTTGCAAAAGGTGTCAGTTTTGTTGCCAGAAAAAAAGGGGAAAAACCCTATTAGTATCAGGACTGTTGGAGTGTTGTATCGTAATAAAGAAGTTACCTCTACAAGTGTCTCCGGAACCCATTACATTTCATGCGCAGCGACACTAAATTACCAGCTCACATGCCCATTCCACTAAACAAGCACACAGCTCATAAGCTTAAACTGTTTCGAGCTTAGGCTATCGCTTACACAAGCGCCTTTAACACGAACGCGGTGATGCATGTGGTGATGTAAATGTAAATCCACCCCTGGATGAGGGCTTCCCCACTATGTGCTGGTTGTGGAGGTTATTTAACCATACTTCACTATATTAAACCGTGTGAATTGATGAAGCCAGGGAACAAAGACAAAAAGACAAAGATCCCCCATGTAGCATTAACAGATGTGTTGGAGGAAGTGCTGTTTGCGACCACCTATGGAGGCGGGCACAGCACACAATGGGGGCGGGTGGCCAACACCATGCCTGACCCGCCTTTGGACTCTCAAGTGGCGATGTTAACTCATAGCACTGCATACTCATTTCAGGCCGAGTCACTAGGTGAGGCCCAGACTGGTTCAGATAATTCGTCACTGGATTTGGTGGCCACGAGCGGGAACCGCACAAGGACAAAGATCCCCCATGTAGCCTTAACAGACTGTTGGGAAAGTGCTGTGAACGAGCACCTATGAAGGCCAGTACGGCACACGAGGGGGTGGGTGGCCAGCACACACGTGCAATGCGAGTGGGGTGTGGTACCAGCACACGGTGGAAGTAGAGGTACTCCGCTGCTCCCGAGTAGTTCCCGCATTCGTACTGGAACTTGGCGTACTTGTAGAGCGTGTCCAGGTACTCTGCGCGGAACTGAGTCGTTGCAGGACAAAGTCCGTGACGGGGAGGAGAGGAGAGGACGAGCCGTGATGAATCAACTCACACAATCAATGTTAGCTTTGGCTACAAATCACCAGCATTTTCCACTGAAGTAGAATAACTCAGGTTTATTTTTCATCACATTAGGATATTTAGAGCAACTTTTCCCATTTTCCTAAATTATAATTTTTATCTAACAACCACATGGCGTCGGTTCATAAAGCCTGACACACGTCAGGCAGATGTAACGGTGATTGGAGGCTACTGCCAATTCTGCCATCGACGCCGAGACTAAAGCTTACACCCTATAGCTTTACTCGTCTAAATGTGAATGCATCTCAAATCGCAGATCTAAATGCGGGAAACATAACCGCAGTGGCGAAAACACGAGAGAAAAAACGAAACCATACACATCAAGTGACAACAGAAAAGGGAACCGCAGAAGAAGCCAGCTGACAACACCATACACAAATGACGGGGGAACTAGAGCCGTCCAATCATCCTTGCAGCGGCTTTTGGCCAACCATCGAATAAAGACGGCAACTCCATTGTGTACTTTCGGATGTGCTTCTGCGGCCATCTGAAACGCTCTTCCTTCCCATATTAGGAAGACACTGGGGTTATGCACCTTTAAATCATCTACATTGAAAACAGATTTCTTTAAAACTGATTTTTGTGTTTGGTTTGTTGTCCTTCCTCCGCACCTCCGACGAGCATGTTTGGCTACGTACGGTGCAAAAGAAGTTCAACGTCCATACATTGAGCAAGGCCAATGAGGAAACCCAGCTTGGTCACGAGGCTGCTGTTGCTAGCCAAGCGCGTCACTAAACAGAGTTGGTCGTCACTGGGTTGATGTTGGTAGTCGTAGGTGGTCATGGATACTTTACTTCATAGTCATATTGAGCTGGCTTTGATGGTCACTGGAATGGTGTCGGTAGTCATGAGAACTGATTTGGAAATGAACAGTTGTAATTGGTAGTTGCCGAGCTGTGGATGTCAAATGGTGTAATGTAATAGAACTGTCTTCTTGTTCTTTCTGTAAAGTCACGTAGAAGGGAAATAATAAAATAATAAAAATAAAACATTATAAATACAATGACAATTGTTACTTTACCGAAAGAACCAAGAAGATGAATCCCTGCAGTCACGAAAGCTTTAAATCGAAATGTCATAGAACTGGTAGGTATTCATGGGGCTGGTCCTGGTAGCGACACCAACGAGTTGGTGGCGACTGAGTTGTATTGGCGGTCACTAGCAACACGAGCTCTGGTGGCAGGGCTGGTGTTGCTAGTCACGAAGGGTGGTTAAGCATAACACCGTGGTCGTCACGTGAGCAGGGGAGAGCAATGCAGCTGCGGCGGGATCACTGTGTCCCCTGTTGGAACGCGGCCGCCTTCGCTCACCCCGTGGTTCTCAGCCAGGTAATCGAAGAGCTGCCGTCCATCCCTGCACGAGACACAATCACGCGACACACCAGACATCAGCTGTGGCTGCCATTGTAGCTTGGTTCGCGATGTAGTTGGTGATATATTTTGTGATGTAGGTGAAGATGTACATGGGCGATGTAGTAGGTGGTTAGGTACGTGGTAATGTACGTGGTTCTCTTAGCTGAAGCAGGTGGGATGTAAGATATAAAATATGATTCTAGATTTGAAGCTTTCGTGACTGCAATGATTCATATTCTTAGGTTTTTTCGGTAAAGTCACGTAGGTAAAACATCAAAATTAATAAAAATAAAATAAAATAAAGATCACGACGTTTCGGAGGCAGCACAAGTCTCCGTCATCAGGTGGGACCGTCACAGCCGGATTAGCTGCATCAAGTGAGGCAATGATTCAAGATGTAATCCCTTAAAAGCGAGTTGAGGGGGGAGGAGAGGGGGGGGGGGCTCATTGGCTACCACATTCTGATGAGCGAATGCAGCAAATAGTGTAACTGCGATATATTTAGTGACGTAGCAGACTATATAACTTGGGAACTGGCTAACAATATAATTGATGAGAGATATGCTGATATAGGCATGTGTATGTGTAAATTGTGCATTTGTACATGTGTATATGTGTATATGGTGTTCACGTAAAAGTTTGTATGCATGTGTGCACACGGTGGCTCAGTGGTTATGGTTCTGCACAAGCTCAACTTCAGGTCAGCAATATCCGAGGTTGTTATGGATCTCCCCTAGGTCGACTAAGCCTTAATTGAGCACTTGGTGCATTGTGAGAACCTCAACAGTTGGGAGACAAAAGTAGCCAGGACTTTCGTTCAGACAACAGGGCCCACTCATGTGCCATTCCGGTCTTAACAGGGACTCGCTCACAGGTCATCTGTGAACCTTATTGGGCATTTGTGAAAAAAAGCTTTATAGCTCATCGGATTCCTCCAGTATAAGTAAATATTCTGATTGTGATATTTTGAAGCATGCGCGTGCATGCAGACGTCACCGTGCGTTCTGGATCTGCCTCTGGACTTCCGCGTCTTCGAACATCTTCACTATGGGCTCCGTCTCCGCTTGAAGCTGCTTCAGTTGAGATACAACCTGTGCTCGCTTCTCCTTGAGAGCTGCAAGGCACAAGCAACATCGCACAATGTGGATTTATGTAGTGTCTAAATGTAACCATAGCTCGAGATGCTGGACAGAAACAGAGGGAATTTATTTCAATGAGAAAGGAAGTCACTCATTAGGCATAGGAAAAAAGGAAGGACTTTATAGCCTGTGCTTGAATTAGGGCAGGATGTCAAGAGCAGGGATGGATGTGGAAAATAAGTTTTAGACGATGGCGGCGGCGGGAAAATTAGCAACCTCCCACTGAGCGAAGGTTGACCAGAGGCTTTCACAGAAAGTTTTGATTGCTGGGGGAATAGAGCGCTAGAGGGGAGAATAAGTAGGTGGGAACAAATCCAGTGGGGTATTTGAAGATTGCGAGTGTAATCTTTAAGTTGATCAGGGATTGCATAGAATGGGCCGCTATTGCGGTGATGTGGTATCTTTACAGGTGTAGATAAGAAGTCTCGAAGCGGCATTTAGAGCTTAAAGGCTATATGTAAATACAATAACACGGTTTAGTGGTCTATGCAGTGCACTTCAATCATGGTCCCCGGCTTGGATTACTTGCGTTTAGTTTTTTGTCCTCCCCCGCACCTCTGATTGGCACGGTTGGGTACGTACCATACGAAATAAGTTTTTTACATATATAACAGTGACCAAGTGTCGCATGGACCTGGCCGTCGTCTCTCGCTTACTCTGTGGGATGTCTTGGTTGGGGTACAGGTTCTTATTTACGTCCATGGCAAAATCCACCATGTTCGTGTTGCTGAGCAGATCCAGCTTCCCTTGCAGCAGCTCCTTCTCATCATAAATCTAAGGACACACAACACACGCACACACACACGTGTGTAAATCCACACAGGTGTAACCACGCACGCACAGGACTAACCACGTAAGTGTAAGCACGGACACGAACATGGGTATAAAGGAACCATAGCTGTACACACCGGTGCACGGACTGAAAAAGAGAGTGGGCCTCCAACAGCCAAGCTAAGAAACGTATCAAAGCTTACAAAAATGTCTGGAGACACGTCTAAAGCCGTGCTGCCTGCAGTGTATAACAAAGAGTCATGTACACCCCCCCCTCTCCTTTCACAATCAACTGCTGTACGACGGCATCCCACGCGGTTGTGGGGATTTGGCAATACAGTACTGTACTGTAATTCACAGGCACTGGTCAGTGTGGGGGTCGTGCAAGAGTTGGGGGGGGGGTTCAGGTATGCTCCATCGATGTTAGCCGAGGCCGGGAATCGAACCTCACGTGGCAGGATGTATAGCGCGGTGTTCGGCTAACAATGGACTCAACAAAATGGGACCTTTTTTAAATCCTTTATATTAAGTTCGCTTGCTTGCGTGCTTGCTTGCTTGCTTACGACCGTGGAAATCTTTCGGTCGTTTTTAACCCACTTCCGTGATCCAATCGAGCTGCCATTTTCCAACACAGACTCGTTGTGCGTGACAATTAATTTTCGTAAATTTTTTTTTCCAAATTTTTACACTGTTTAGGGGAAATAAATTAAATATTTAATTACCAATTGCTTAATGCTGGCAGACAATCATCTGACCCATAGGTGGCAGCCATCTCAAGCCAGAGGACGAGAGGACTCTAGCCGCCACGCATATAAAGGATTTAGAGTGAAAAACTTCGTTTTTTACGGGTTAATTTATTACCGGCATCAAAGTATTTTTTCAGTGCACTAACCACTGCACCACCGCTCCACCCGGTGTTTGCCTTTGTACATAACGGCATCTATATACATGTTTATAGCGTTACCATTCACGTTACAACTCCGTAATGGCTTCTGGGGTTAATAACCGCATCGATTAAACATTAAATGCTAAAAGCTTATTGATAAATTCCACACGTGCGCGCGACCATTCACACAGAGGCCTACACAGGGCTTCCCATTCAGATTCCCTACACCACATAGGTCCGGCGGCTCAGCCCCGGCCAATCAAAAGCCGAGCAGCGGAACCCCACGTGACCCGGCTCCTCCAATCGCACGCGGCGCTTGTTAACCTTATCCGCGCTACGAAATCAAAACGCGTTTTCGGGCCTCTTCGCTTAGAGCGGAGCGAGGGGAGAGACGCGGAAGGTTAAAACTCCCCGAGATGGGAGGTCCAGTCGCCTCGACGGCTTCCCCGGGCGCGCGGTACCTCTTTGACGGACAGAAATTCGAGCAGCGGGAAGACGAGATGCCTGTCCAGGCAGCGCCCGATGTTCGTGGTTAAGTCGAACTCCGCCATCTTGGCGCGAGGGGAGGGGGCAATGAGACCTTGCGGGGCGGAGTCCCCTGACGTCACTTCCGGGTGGGGGGTGTTGGTATTGGGGGAGGGGGGTGAGGGGAGGTGAGGGGGTATTGGGGTGAGGGGGGGTGAGGGGAGGTGAGGGGTATTGGGGTGAGGGGGGGTGAGGGGAGGTGAGGGGTATTGGGTGAGGGGGTGTTGATATTGGGTGTGAGGGGAGTGAGGGGTATTGGGGTGAGGGGGGTGAGGGAGTTGTTGATATTGGGATGAGGGGGGGGGTGAGGGGAGGTGAGGGGGATTGGGGGGAGGGGGGTGAGGGGAGGTGAGGGGGTAGTTGGGGTGAGGGGGGTGAGGGGGTATTGGTATTGGGGTGAGGGGGGTGGGTATTGTGGTGAGGGGGGGTGGGGGAGGTGAGGGGTATTGGGTTGAGGGGGGTGAGGGGAGGGTATTGGGGTGAGGGAGTATTGGTATTGGGGTGAGGGGGGTGAGGGGAGGTGAGGGGTATTGGGGTGAGGGGGTATTGGGGTAGGGGGGGGAGGGGAGGTGAGGGGGTATTGGGGAGGGGGGTGAGGGGAGGTGAGGGGGTAATTGGGTGAGGGGTATTGGGTGAGGGGGTGAGGGAGGGAGGGGGTATTGGGGTGAGGGGGTGAGGGGAGGGAGGGGGTATTGGGGTGAGGGGTATTGGGGTGAGGGGGAAGGGAGTGGTGAGGGGGATTGGTGAGGGGGGGTGAGGGGGTGAGGGGATTGGGTGAGGGGGGGGTGAGGGGATTGGGGTGAGGGGGGGGGGAGGGGGTAGGGATTGGGGTGAGGGGGGTGAGGGAGGTGAGGGTGATTGGGTGAGGGGGGGTGAGGGGAGGTGAGGATTGGGGTGAGGGGGGGGTGAGGGGAGGTGAGGTGATTGGGGTGAGGGGTGGTGAGTGAGGGGATTGGGTGAGGGGAGGGGTGAGGGGTAGTTGGGGTGAGGGGGAGGTGAGGGGAGTGTATGATTGGGATTAGGGGGGGGGTGAGGGGGTGAGGGGATTGGGTGGGGGGGGTGAGGGGAGGGATGGGGTAGGGGTGATTGGGGTGAGGGTGGTATTGGTGAGGGGGGTGAGGGGGTATTGGGTGAGGGGTGTAGGGGAGGTGAGGGGTATTGGGGTGAGGGGGTATGGATGGGTATGGGTAGGAGGGATGGTATTGTGGGGTAGTATTGGGTGAGGGGGGGGATGAGGAGGGGTGGGGGTGAGGGGGTGAGGGGGTATTGGTGGTGAGGAGGTATGGGTGAGGGAGGTGAGGGGGTATTGGTATGGGGAGGGGGTGAGGGGAGGTGAGGGGGTAATTGGGTGAGGGGTTATTGGTAGGGGTGAGGGGGGTGAGGGAGAGGTGAGGGGTATTGGGTGAGGGGGGTGAGGATGAGGGGATGTGAGGGGTATTGGGGTGAGGGGGGTGAGGGGGAGTTGTAGGGGGTGAGGGTGAGGGGAGGTGAGGGGGGTAGGGTTGGGGTGAGGGGGGGGTGAGGAGGGTGAGGGGGGATTGGTGGGGTGAGGGGGTGAGGGGATGGGTGAGGGGTATTG